CGTCCCCGACGCGCGCGCCCGCCCCGCACAGACGCACGCACGGCGCGGGCCGAGCACGTCCGCAGCGCGCAGGCGCACATCGGTCCGCGCGCTTTTTGGAAGCCGCAGGTCTGTGGGGACCCGGGCGGCGTGGAGTGGAGGAGCCGGTCCGAGCGGAAGCGAGAGGCGCGGACAGGCCAACTCGGGCCCGCAGACCCTCCGGGGCGGCCGGCGGGGCGAGGGGCTCCTGGGCGGCGGAGGGACGGCCGGGCCCTGGAGCGGTCCTCGCAGGGGCGTGCCCTCCACGCTAGGTGTTGCAGGTGACTCCCTTTTTGGGGGCGGGGGCGTGGGGGGGCCGGGGGACTGTCCGTCCGCGCGGGCGAATCGGGCCCCGCTGCTGGCGCCTCTGCCGGCCGGAGCCTCGGGTAGACCCCCAGCCCCGCTCTGCGCTGCCGGCCACCTCCGACGATGACCCGAGGCCGCCGGGGTCCCCGCCGCTGGGAGAGGAGGCGGGGCCTGGGGCGGGGCCGCGGGGAGCGGGGAGGCTGGTCCGGGAGCGCCGAGCAGGGGGAGCTGCTCCGAGTACTTTTCGGGGTTGGACGCCCCGTCCGACAGGGGGCGCTGCGGGACCCTGAGGCCGGTGGCTGCGCTCACAGCAAGGCCGCGGCCTGGCGTGAGCTGCCCCGCGTGCTCGCTCGGGGTCTGGAAGGTTCTGCAGGGTCTGCGCAGCTCCCGCCTGGGATGCCCACCCCGAGGCAGGGAGACGGCAGGAGCAGGTCTGACCTGCGGAGGCCCCTGCAGCGAGAGAGCACACCTTACCATAGGGCCATCGGCAAACCGCGGCTCGCGAGCCACAGGGGGCTCTTTGGCCCCTTGAGTGTGGCTCTTCCACAAAATACCACGTGCGGGCGCATGTACAATGCGATTGAAACTTCGTGGCCCATGCGCAGAAGTCGGTTTTCGGCCTGGGCCAGTCATTGTCATGACTTAATTTTATGGATATTGTAAGGTAGATTGTAAGGAATTTAATTTTATCAGTAAATAATATCGTTATTAAGTATGATATCACGTTTTATCCAACGTAACTTTATGAAGTTAATTTTAGGGAACGTTGTGGAGTGAAAGATGTAGTGTGGAGGATTGAGAAAGGTATGCTGAGATGGTTTGGACATAGAGAGGATGAACGAAAGGAGATAGATGAAACAAGTACACAGACGAGTGTGGATGGGAGAGTTGGAAGGGGTCACCTCAGCGAATGTGCCTCCATCAGATTGAGGACGTTTTTAGCAAAGGCCAGCTTAGGAGCACCCTAATTAAGTTAATAACAATGTACCTACCTATAGAGTTTCAGTTTAAAACATTTGGCTCTCAAAAGAAATTTCAATGGTTGTCCTGTTGGTATTTGGCTCTGTTGACTGATGAGTTTGCCGACCACTGGCCTAGGGACTCTTCCAGGTGGGAAAGAGGGGCACGCGGTGCCCATGAGCGCTGAGCGAGCGTCGCCATTAGGTCCAGGGATGCCGGAAGGATGCCGGGGACTCGGAATCCGTGGGAACGGACAGTGGCTGAGCCAGTGAGCAGTGCCGGCCCGCAGCTGTGTCTGCCGCGTCCGCCGTGCTGGACGAGCCACTGAGTTCCAAGGAGGAAGTGGGATTCCGCGGTGAATGCTGGGAGCTCGGGGGTGCGGAGCGGAAAGGGGTGCGGGCGCAGGGGGCACCCGGCTGTGCGGAGTCCCAGGGCTGCAGGTGACAGGGCTGTCCCCAGCGAGAGGGGTTTGTGCTAAACCTGCGCCAACTCCCAGCTCCTTCAGTCTCCCATTCCCAGTGCCGCACAAAAGAGGTTAAAATAAGTTAAAGGGTGTGGGACGCGGATGGTCGGGACATGTCCGTTCTCGTTTTGACTCTTAACCCTTAACAGCTTTAAGCAAATTAGGATCTCCTTGAGTCTTAAGTTTATTTTTATTTTTAATCCTCACCAGAGGATATTTTCCCCCGTTGATTTTTAGAGAGAGTGGGAAGGTGGGAGGGAGAGAGAGATCCATTGGTTGCCTCCGGCCTGCGCCCTGACCCGGCTGGGGACCGGGGCGGGAAACAAGCTTGCAGCCCAGGTACGTGCCCTGGCCCGGGAGTCGAACTCGCAGCCCTCTGGTGTGCAGGCTGGTGCTCTGTCGCTGAGCCACACCAGCCAGGGTAACGTTTACTGTTTTTAGCGAAGATTCGCGAACACCTGTCTACAGTGCACAGTTTCTTTGTAAAGTATTATGGGAGGTGCACACTATAAAACATGATCCTTAAGCTGTGTTCACAAGGAACTCAGACGGTAAATTTCAAAATACACAAGTTCTTGGTTTTTCCTTTATGCAGTGCTGTTCGGAAACTTCAAAGCTTCTTACACGTTTTCCTTCTGGGTTGGCAGGTAAGTTCCACACCCAGCCCCAGGCCATGTTCATCTGTAATTGTATTAAAATAGTTTTACCTTAATGCATGGAGGCTGATAAGGATAACCTGAGGGAAGAAATCTAAAATATAGGTACTTCACAGCAGATTGTGTCGCTTCTTGTGGCTCCTCTATCACGAAGGTTTCGGTTTTTAATGCTTCAGGTGAAATCGGGAAGCGGTGAGAGCCTCGGGGCTCGTGTGTGAAGTGCTCATTCCTGAATACGGCCTCACGAACAGTAGTGAGCCAGCAGTTCCTATTCCTGATCTAGCCGCTCTGCCCTGTGGGCATTTGCACATGGGACCCGCCGTGCAGCTGCCTGGAGTGAGCGAGCGCCCCCGCTCTGCCCTTTGGGCATTTGCACACGGGTACCGACGTGCAGCTGCCTGGAGTGAGCAAGCACCCCCGCTCTGCCCTGTGGGCATTTGCACACGGGTACCGACGTGCAGCTGCCTGGCGTGAGCAAGCACCCCCGCTCTGCCCTGTGGGCATTTGCACATGGGACCCGCCATGCAGCTGCCTGGAGTGAGCAAGCGCCCCCGCTCTGCCCTGTGGGCATTTGCACATGGGACCCGCCATGCAGTTGCCTGGAGTGAGCGAGCGCCGCCGCTCTGCCCTTTGGCGGTAGCCCCGAGGGTGTTTGCACACGGGTCCCCGACGTGCAGCTGCTTGGAGTGAGCTCTCGTGCGGTCCCGGCCCCAGTGCTGACGCTCTGGTCTCGGGGCTCCTTCACATCCCAGCCGCGGCGCCTACGTGTGCCGAAGGGCTGGTGACAGCTTCAGGCATTTTTCTGTTCGAGGGGTGACTGGCGCTCAGTGATTTCTCTCACTTTACAGATGAACCCTAAGGCTCGGCCGTAATAAGAGGCTTGAGATCATTCCTGTGCTTTTTCCTCGGAGACGACTTCCACCCCAGGCTTGGTTTGTTTTGCTGTTTGTAGCTCCTTCCGTGGCACCTTTCTTTTTCGGATTAATTTTAAATCCTTTCCTTATGAATGCTTTCCCTATTTGTGCGGAAAGTTATTACTAAAATAGTTCAGCAGCACTATTAAGTCAGGTCTTTATATCTGAAATGCTTGAAATTTACTTTATAAATGAAAGGTCCAGTGTCCCTTCTCTCAGATAAGCAGAGACTTAAGAGTCCGCCTGCACCTTCTTTTAGTTCCTCCTGACGCTTCCCTTTGTCTCTGTTGTAGGACCTGTAAAATGCAGGCCCCGAGCTCCAGGGCTGTGCACCTGAGCGAATGGCAGAAGAACTACTTTGCAGTTACGTCTGGCACGTGCACGGCCGCGCAGAAGGCAGAGGCCTACCGGGCGCAGGTGCTGCGCGTTCAGTATGCGTGGGCCAACTCCGAGATCTCCCAGGTCTGTGCTTCCAAACTGTTCAAGAAATATGCAGAGAAATACTCGGCAATCATTGATTCTGACAACGTGGAAACCGGCTTGAATAACTATGCGGAAAGCGTTTTAACGTTAGCAAGAGCGCAGCAGACGGACAGTGACAAGTGGCAGTCGGGTCTGTCGATGAGTAATGTCTTCCAGATGCGCTGTGTGCAGGAGATGATGCGGGCTGGCGAGAAGCTCCGAGGCTCCCTGCTGGCCCCGGCCGATGCTTCCGTCGTGATCCATGGCGGGGCCGTGGTCCCCGATCCTCCGAAGTCTAGCCTTTGTGGTGGTTCTCGGGAGAGCGACCCACTGACTAAGGCAGCTCACGGTACAGGCTGGGCCCCGGACGTCCCAGGGAGTGGTCCCTCGGGCTCTCTGAGTGTCCAGCCCCCTGTGGCCACTAACACCCCCAAGACGTGTCCCATGTTCTCAGCACCCTTTGGTGACTTAGCCACCCCGTTATTTGGACATGTCAGGAAGGAAAATAGCGGCGCTCCGAAAGCCAGCCCGGGACTGAGTCTGTTCTTACCCCGTCAGCCTCGCGCTCCTGCCGGCAGTGAAGGCCCCTGGGACAGGAGCGCTTTCTACAGCTCAGGCCCCGCCGAAGCCCTTTCTGCCCCGACCCTGAGTGAGGCTCTTAGGAAAACGGAGGGGAACGGCCACCGGGAGGAAGGCGGCCTGCCAACCTTTAAAACCGCAAAGGAGCAGCTATGGGTGGAGCAGCAGAAAAAGCACCACCCGCCTGCCCGGGCGGCAGCGCCTTCCTATGGCGGCAGCGTCAAGAAGTCCCTGGGCGCCAGTCGATCCCGAGGAATTTTTGGGAAGTTTGTCCCTCCTGTACCTAAGCCAGATGGGGATGCGCATGGGGGGGTGCAGTACAAGCCTGACAGTGCCGGGCCCGCAGAGCCAGCGCCCCCCGTGGATGAGCGTTTGAAGAGCTTGGAGCCCAAGATGATCGAACTGATTATGAGTGAGATTATGGACCATGGGCCCCCCGTGACCTGGGACGACATCGCGGGGGTGGAGTTCGCCAAGGCCACCATAAAGGAGATCGTCGTGTGGCCCATGCTGCGGCCCGACATCTTCACGGGCTTGCGGGGCCCGCCCAAGGGGATTCTGCTCTTCGGGCCTCCTGGGACTGGGAAGACCCTGATTGGCAAGTGCATCGCCAGTCAGTCTGGGGCCACCTTCTTCAGTATCTCGGCCTCCTCCTTGACCTCCAAGTGGGTGGGCGAGGGGGAGAAGATGGTCCGTGCGTTGTTCGAGGTTGCGCGGTGCCAGCAGCCCGCTGTGATATTCATCGATGAAATCGACTCCCTGTTATCCCAGCGGGCAGATGGGGAGCACGAGTCTTCTAGGAGGATCAAGACCGAGTTCCTGGTTCAGCTGGACGGAGCCACCACGTCTTCTGAAGATCGCATTCTAGTCGTGGGAGCAACCAATCGGCCTCAGGAAATCGACGAGGCCGCCCGGAGGAGGTTGGTGAAAAGGCTCTACATCCCCCTCCCGGAGGCCTCAGCCCGGAAGCAGATAGTGACGCGCCTGATGTCCAGGGAGCAGTGCAGCCTCCGCGAGGAGGAGATCGAGCTGGTGGTGCAGCGGTCGGCAGGCTTCTCGGGCGCCGACATGACGCAGCTGTGCCGGGAGGCGTCCCTGGGCCCCATTCGCAGCTTACAGGCCACCGACATCGCCACCATAACGGCAGACCAGGTCCCACCCATAGCTTACGTGGACTTCGACAATGCGTTCAGAACTGTGCGGCCCAGCGTGGCTCCCACAGACCTAGCGCTTTATGAAAACTGGAACAGAACCTTTGGTTGTGGGAAGTAAGCAGGGCCCTCACAGTTAAAGGGGTGTCTGTGTGGCACAGTCTTTCCCGGCCTGGAGCTCAGGAACCTGGGGCTTCATCCGTGGTCCTGGGAGTGTGTGTCCTGAATCCGGAACCGCAGATGAAGCAATTGCAATTGACAGCCTGTGTGGCTAGTAGCTTGATTTTCTTCCAGTTGTTCCCTGATGTGTACACCTAGTCATACCCAACGCGAGGGATCTTGTCTTGTTTCTAACGTCCTTCTTTTCAAGCTGTGCAATGGGATGAATAGTGAGCCCAGATTGAAGCTCTGAGTCCTACTTGTAAACGAGGCTGTGTGATTTACACGGATCTTTTATTGCCAGTCTGTGGTTTATGTTCGAGACAGAGCGTGGCTCACCGTTGTTTAAGATGTAGGATCTCACCAAACACTGGAGGGACAGTGCCAGCTTTTACTTCGGTTTGTGAGCTCTTACTGTTTTCTTCTCTTCGCAGGACCAGCTAATGAAACATTCAGGAAGAGCAGAGTGTGGTCTGAGAGCAGGTGTGCCACAGGACTGAAGGGGAATGGTTTCCTAGGGGGCAGGTGTTGTCTAACAATACATATTTGACGCTAGGTGGCAGCCCGGAGAATTGGTATCTTTCAAAAATAAGCGTTTGCAGCTTTCTGTGATGGCGCATTCTGCTGTATAAATAATGCGTGTTCATTGTGGAAGCGCCACCCAGTAGAGGTGAGCAGAGGAAGGAGAGAATGGCTGCTGCCGCCCCTTTGGGGAAGCACCGTGAACAGCTGGGAGCAGTTCCTCCCGGTGTTTGTGCAGCATTCTCTTCTGTAGCCTCATTTTTCACCGTTTCCCATGTTAGCGTCATCGGCAGCATCTTCCCTGACACGGCCCCTCGGACTGTCGTGGGGATGGCCTCACGGAGTCCGTCTTGGGAGTGTAGTTAGGGCAGGACGTTGGGCTGTGTACCTTTGTTTACTGTAAACGAAAATATGTTGACTGCCTAGTCATTGATCTTTCACTATCTTTCCTACCAGTCATTCACCTTTCAACGTGGAGCCAAAAGCATCAAAATGTGAAATTAAACACTAGAAATTATTAAAGCACCAGAAAAGTGTGATAATGTTGGGAGTTCACAGTAGGATTTGGAGCGTGGGCCATGGCCACACCTGGTGGGAGAGTGTGGTGTGCCCAGCCTTTCTGGAAGGTGTGGGGTTGTATCTGCCAAAAGATGTTTCTCTTCTTGATGTCAGTGCCACACAGATCAGGTCATTGAAACATTTAAGATTTGAGAAAACACACAACCTGAATATGCGACCACGGAGGATTGTTAGCCTGCTGATGGGGTTCACGACATGGTTTTAAACCTCGTGGATGCCGTGCATTGCATCCCGAGGAGAGAGCCGGCTCCTGTTCAGGGACGAGGCTGCTTGCACATCCACAGGAAGCTCCGGGACACTCGCCGCTGCTGCCCGGAGCGAGGGGAGCTGGGACCCCTCCCTGGACTCACGTGCAGTGTCGGTGTTGTGACTGTTTCCAGCAACGATGCACTCTTTGTAATTTTTAAAGACTCAGTGAAATAGTATTTTTCAAGTATGGAACATGAGTAATTAAGCAGTGGCCGTTTGTGTGTTTTGTTTTGGTGCCAATAGGGTTGTTAGCAGGTGGTAGAGAGGCGAGGGGTCGGCATTAAAAGCCCCAGCAGTAAATTCCTCAGAAAGCATGCCTTCCACGTGGACACGGGGCTGGAAAGACGATGACCAACTGCTAAAGAAATCTCTAAAAAATGAAGCAAACCTCTCATCAGAATCCTTAGCCCACAGTCACTCATCCGACTCCAGATTGAGCAAAGCTGTCAGATTGCTTTAAACAGTAGCTGTGAGGTACGCACAGATTTCATCTTCATTTTAGGAAGCGGGGTGGCCAGAAACCCATTGACAAAGGAATCTGAGCAGGCGACACATGCAGGACGCTCCGTCTGTGACCACAGACCTGATGAACCCACTTTCCCGGAGGGTGGGGGACAGGTGAGGGTGACTCACGTCGGGAGAAACAGCCTGGCCGGCCGCGCATACCCTCTGACCCAGTGCAGCGCCTCAGCGCAAATGCATGATAAGCTGCCGGAAACATAATTTCACAAAATACAGAAAATTGCTGTAAAACCAGGACGCGATTGCAATTTAAGGGAAATGGTGCAGATAAATCTATTTTAATGGATAAGCTTAGATGCAAACTAAATATGTTGGCATCTCATTATTCCTTCCGACCGATCTAAGTTAGATTGGAAAATTCGATCGTACACATAGAAATGGAAAGATGTTTTTTGTGAGCCCTTTGTGCTTTGGGAAAACCCAGTCCTGCTCTAATGGGTGTTGAGGCTCTCGCCGACTCGGTTCCACTCTGGTGTGTGAGGTGGCAGACGCTACCCTGAGCGTCAGGTTCTCAGCGCTGCACGGAGCTCCCAAGGTCTCTTTTGATGAAGTGCATCTCTTTCGCTTGGTCATGAGGGTCAGTATTTTCACGTACCAACAATCGGGTTGCCGAGATTGGGCCGAGAGACCGGCCTGGCATCACTGCCTGACAAAGGGGTGATGGGCGATGAGCCCCTCCCACGTGCCCTCAAAGGCTGGGGCACCTCCCCGCCTGTAACTCGGGTGGTTGAGCAACGCTGTGAAGTAAGGAGCCGGGCTTGTCTCTCTTGCAGCCACACACGCAATAGGCCGATTAGCAAGGGGAACTGGAGGTGAACTTGTTACTTAAGACCCTTCTAGAAGTCCACCCAAGTTGAGGAATCGAGTCAGAAACACCTAGTCCAAGAAGTGGGGGGCTCGGGTAGTGTTTCCTCCGCAGCAGTAGATGTGCTAACATGTGGAACGTAGTACAGGCTTCATAATGTTCTAGAGAAGTTACGACATTTTTTAAAAAGCAAGGAAACCAATTCCCTGATAACTTGGTAAAGCATGTGATGGACGTAGAGGAGCGCCTCTGAGATGACTTATCAGGTTGGAACAGGAGGAAGTAGTGTAAACGGACAGCGCTGAAGCTGGTGTGAGAAGCCCGCGTGTCCAGGCCCAGAAACCCCGGGCCGGGCCCTGTCTGCTATAAAACAGGCTGGGCAGAGTAGGCTTCCAGCTGTGAGTGTGCCAGACAGTTCATTCTTGTGTTATTTTCCAAACAAACAACTGTCAGCCTGTTGTGCTCACCCTGAGTAACCATTTAGATGCTGGAATTTGAGTCTTTGCGCTCCTGTCTCTTCCTGATGCTTCCTGTGCTTGATTTTCCATAAGAAGAATGTTCCCTAAAGGTCACAAGGAGGAAATGAGAGCAGGAGTTGGGAGTACCAGGGACAGGCTCATGTCTGCTAAAACCCTTTTCCCTTCCACTCTCCTCCGTCTTCAGCTCTGATATTTAAGCCCTGAGTCGTATTTGGAGAAATAAGGTGCTCTCAGTGTCTGTTCAAATGAAGAGCTTTGTGGTCAGGACATGGTGTCTCGGGAAGAGCAGAGGCTGTGCATCCTTTTAGCGAAGCCTCACGGGAGGAGTGAGCATTGACCGCACGGGAGGCCCTGGTGAAACGAGGCTTCGGGCCGAGGAGGGTGGTCTGTGAAGCTCTGTGGGTGAGACTCGTGCACGGGCGCGAGCCCATGAGTCCGCGGAGGCCGAGTGTGTGGGAAACGGACCGGCAGAAACCGTCAGCTTAGACCCGCGGGGACAGTGGCGGGTGGACAGGAGAGGGTCTGCCCGGGATCCCCCCTTATCCGAAACTCGCCGGCTCACCCACGTGTCTTTGGTCTCATTAAAATATCTTTTTTATTCACTTAAAACATGTTCTATTTGAAAATCTCAGACCACAAGAAGTTGCAGAAATTAGGATGGAGCTCTTTGCACCAGACTTGCTGTGGGCTTCCGTTCTGCCAGGAATCTCTCACCGAATGTGGCTGCTGCTCCAGGCAGCACCATCGGGCGGCGGGGCCCCGAGCTGGGTCTCAGGGCCTCTCCACTGGTCAGCGAAGGGAGATGAGCAGGAACCTGACCTTTGTCCGCATGGACAACAGCCTCCAAGCCTGGCTATTTCGTCTCTCTCTGAAGTCCTTACCACCCCCCGCCCCCCACCCCGCCCCTGATTCCATGTGAAACTCAAGTAGAATCACAGCCTCTCCTGTAGGCCCGTCTGTGGTCAGTTCACTTCGGAGACCCGGCCATTGGCCACGGGAGAGAGGAGGGAACGAGACCTGGGCTCCGGGAACCCGAGGCCATGGGGAGGGCAGGGCCAGGGTGAGCTCTGCAGAGAGGTCAGGGTGGACCCCCAGGGAGTCAGGAGTGGGGGCCTCTGTCCGGGTCGGAGAGGCGGGGTCCGAGCCAGGCCCTCCGGCAGCCCCGGTGGGGAGATGCCCGCTCGGTGTCAGCGAAGTCTATGCAAGGACTGCTCTCAGGAGGAGCATAGCCAGCGACAGGCTTGGGGGTGTTTGAAGACAAACCATCAGCAAATGACACCGAGGCGGCCTGGTTGCAAGCCTGTCCCACCCGTCGCTGCTGGGCAGCCTGTGTGTTGGAGCCCCCAGGGTGCAGCCTGTCCTCTGGGCGAGGCACTAGGTCAGGTGTCCACTGTGGGGGGAGGAGGCTGCATTTTATAAATTATTGGAATTTTCTAAATGGGCACTCTCAGATTAATAATCTTAAGATTAATGGATGGCTATCATTAGGGTGGTAGACTCCAATATAAATTCTTGCAAAACATCAAGCTTAATCAACGCAAAAACAACATGTGGTTCCTTCAGTAATAATTTGCGGA